TTAAGGAATTACGTAGGTTTATCAACAACTATTGATCCTATTTTCAAGTTTACTTACAATTTGTAAATTATACCTTTGTTACAAGTTCAGTCTCACACTTGTTTTAATGGCCTACTTATCTACTTTTGCGATGTTGTCACACGTAAAACACGATCTTTTTAAGAAGCGCAAATGTCATGCAGAGTATGCAACATGCATGCACCATCCCAAGACCACAGGTGTTTCAAGTTGAAAAAGTACTTAAACTTAATTACAAACTTCAAAACATGACATTTCAAAAAATGACATTGCCACAAAATTTTCAATATGAAATCGATGCAGTTTATTATTCGTGTAATCTTTCATTCGAATAAAAAATAGTGTTCGATACGAGGGCGAAAATTTGTTTTTCGCCCTTGTATCGAAAACTACTATTTTGCTCTATGGCGTTGCTATGGATAAGTGAAATAATCATGTTGAATTAGACATCAAATGTCTTCCTGACATACCTAAGATATTCAAATTAAATTTAATAAACAGAAGTAATAAAATTTAACGGGTAATAAAATATAATAGAAGTAAAATGAATCCACATTTTCTTTGTTTACTCAGGAAATATTCATTAAAATTACACTCGTGCATCAAAATAAACAGATAATTTAGCATTCGAGCGTGTTGTCTTGTAAAAACTGCATTCGTTTCTTTCACATTGGAACGAAAAAGCCACAATATGAAAATAAACTCATGCAATTTTTAGGCAACAAGCTTTCATGCAAAATTATCGGTAATTTTGAAGCACTTGCGCAATTACCCCCGAAAAGTACCCACCTTTTGCATGCCCCCTTTGGCTGGCATGGAAGCAATCGGCCGCCGTATACCCATAATCCATTCCGCCGTTCTTCAAACGTGGCAACGTGAAGTTCAAAGTGAACTTATGCGCAATGATCGTGAACTGGTCGCTGTCGAATTCTGGATAGTTGGCGATTTGCAAATCCAGCGCCTGCCATTGGTCCATCAGGCGCATCATCTGAGGCACCAGGTGGCGGTGGGGCAGCCCTATGAGGCACGGGCAGGAGATGATGTGGGGCACGATGCAGGAGGCCGGCTTGTCGGTCATGTCGAGCAGGATTTTCAGGTCTGGAAAAGGTCCCCCGGATGATTAAGGGGCGGCTGTGGGCGGCGCACTCACGTATGGGCGGGATCAGGTTGATCACCGTTCTGGGCAGGTGGTTGCGAAACGTTCTGAGCGTTTCCAGCATGTCTGCTTCGTGATTGGCCAGCACTTTCTGGAAGTCTCGCTTGTAGCAGGCGTCTGAGCAGAGGTCGTTGTGGCCGATGAAGACCGAAATCATCTAAAAATCACTCAAAATTGAGGCGTTTTTTCATCTTCGTTGGGGCTTTTCTCATTAGTTTTGCGAGTTGGTTGGAAGGGGCGGATTGGAAACGGGAAATTTATTCTACTTCGAGATATTATCTCCACTTGTTTGATACTTTTTCCAATAATTTTCGTTCCTTTTCATAGTTTTGAACAACTTTCTACTGTTCTAGCCCGATAATCTAACACAAGATTAGATTAGAAAAAGTAAATAGATGCAAGTGTACGCTCATTTAAAACATTGTACTACAATCTGGGTACTTTAATCTGCCTATTTTCTAAGATTTAAACTAAAAAGAAAACTAAAAATTTGTTTCCAAACTTCTGGGGAATTAGGAGCAGAAAAGCACTGATGACCGATGAGATAAAGTTGCCGTTACAAAGGTTTAAAAACGGCCAGCTTTAAGCCGTAAGCAAACTCAAACCGGCGAATTTATAAACGGCTTCAACGCTGGTGGGCGCCCTTTGAGGCTCATTTTATTCGACTCGAGGCTCGTTTATGAACTAATTCACGACGGCCGGTTTATAAATGGTTTTAGAGCCAGTAAAATGAATAATAACTCGCCTTTTGCGGTGCCAGTTAGCGTTAAAAACCCGACGTTATTTTTTATAGAAGGTCGGCTTAAAGTCGTTTATAAAATAGGCGGCAACGGCGGTTTATAAATGGTTTCAAGATCGGGCGCTTATAAATATTGACTCGCTATTTGCGCTGCTCGATAGCGTTAACATGCTAGAAACAGTGGTTAATTTCTCTTTTCTGGTCGTTTTCCGGTTTATGTTTATAAAGAGCCCACTATAAAGTAGTTTATAAAATAGTTTGCAGCCGCCTCTTTATAAACGGCTTTAAAACTGGTCATTTCTGAACAACAACTTGCTTTTTGCGCTTTTCGTTAAAAGCCGACGTTATTTTTTGCCAATTGTCGTCTGTTGGAAACCTGTTTTATAACATTTAACTGCAGCGATCAACGCAAACGGCAAACTTGTATTTATGAAAAGTCAGCTTTAAATTCGTTTATAAACTAGGTTGAAACGGCAAGTTTATAAACGGCTTTAGCTTCGGCTGTTTATAGAAAGCAACTCGCTCTTTGCCTTGGCGTTTACACGTTAAAAACCGCCGTCAATTTTTTTGTCTGGTCGATTTCAACTGTCAATGCTAACGGCGAGTTATTCTTTATAACTGTACAACGGGTTATAAACTAGTTCGCAACGGCTAATTTATAAACGGCTTTAAAGTTTGTCGTTTGTAAATAATAACTTGCTGTTTGCGTTTTTTGTTTCCGTTAAAAGTCGGGGTTATTTTTTCGCCTGGTAATTTTTTGTGAAAAATGTTGCATGTCATTTTTTTCCTTTTTGCCCAAAATTTTGCCGAAAAAAAATCGAATTTCTGTTTTCGAAAAAAAATAAATTTCTCCAAATGCCACAAAAACCGCAACTGTGCATAATTGGAAATCTGTTTAGGTCGAAATCAGTCAAAAACTGGCATACATTTTTCACTTTTTTGTCGAAATTTTTTTCGGAAAAAATTTAATTTTTCAAAATGCCCCAAACACCTTAAAAATACAGTTGGAAAGCCACTCAAGTTGAAAACAGTCAAAAATCTCGCGTGTGAAATTGGTATTTTTTGCCCAAAATTTTGCAAGCTGGAGGTCGATGTTTTCGAAAAATATCAAATTCCTCCAAGCGCCACAAACATCGTAACTGTGCATAATTGGGAATCTGTTTAAGGCGAAATCAGTCAAAACTAACAGTAGAGCCGTTTGGAAACTAGTTCGCAGCGGCGACTTTATAAACGGTTTAACACATGCCGTTTGCATTTCATTTTTTCGTTTGAAATGTTCAAAACCAGCGCGATTTATTCCGCCCCGCGATGCAAAACTATTGTTTAATTAATGTTTATAAACGGACGAAATTAGAGTCGTTTATAAACTGTTGCGACGGAGAGTTTATAAACCGCTTCAACACCGGGCGTTGCCGTTGAGTGCTATCGAACGGGCACAAACAGCCAGTTTATAATTAGAAACGGTCAGAATGGTTAACTTTAAAGCCGTTTATAAACTGTTTGGCAACGGCTAATTTAAAAGCCCATTCAAAGTGTTACCTTTTGCGTTACCGGTTTAAAACTGGCGTTATTTCTAATCGGTTAAAGGGCGACTTTAAGGCGGTTTATAAACTCGCTGTTGCAAGTTTCTCAAGAACTATTCGAGCTACAGAATTCGTTTTGGCATCGTTGGATAGAGAATTGACAAGTCGATTCAGTCGTAACAACGCGAGTGAGAAAATTCGAGTAGTTTTGACACAGAAAGCGGAATTTGAATATCAGACACTTAAGTGCAAGATTATGTCAAAATTTCATGTTTTCCGTCCAGTTTTTGCTCATTTCTCAGAGGCAAAATGAGCAAGAACGCTCATTTGTACGTCATTCTAGAGAGAACTAAATGGCCTTTTTAGAAAGTGAACCATGGATGGGGAATTGTTGGCAGTTTTCTCAAAAAATGCTTGAATTCAAGAAGTTTTAGATTTGAGTTGCAAAATCCACTTGAACATAACCCTGCTTTTTTCGAAGTTTCTCAAGAACCATTCGAGCCAGAGAATTAGGATCCGCCCTTGTTTGCCCATTGCCGTTAAGCGCTTCCAACTTTTCCGAAACGGCCAGTTTATAAAGTGCTTTTTATGCTGATAGTTTACCTTCCAGTCGTTTTCCAAATCCACATGCTTATCGCGCTTGATGCGATCGACCAGCACTCGGGCCATAAAGGGCATATCATTCGAAATGGCGCCCCCTTCGGCCACATTGAACTTGGACTTGCCGTCGGTCGTGATTGCGTTCAACGAGTAGCCGTAAAGGTGCGGATTGAACTGCTTGAGGATGTTGGGGAGGGTCAAATGCGTCTGCCAAGTCCCTGCGCCACCTGCAGCCATACAATCGGTTAGGGGGATGCTTTTGCGCCCGCTTTTAGGGAGAAATTGCGTGTACCTATTGAGAAGCTGGAGCCGCGGGCTTCATGCAGCAGGGCCAGCAAACTGTCCACCTCCACCCCAAAACCCGCAGTTAAACTGTCCCCAATTGCGCCCACCACGTCGATGTCGCCGGGTCTTAGTTGGTGGACACTTTGAGGCCTGGTCTGGCTTCTAGCGGGAAGATCCCGATGAGAACACGGGAATTGGGCCCCTTGGGGGCCCTGTTGCCGCTTCTAAAACGCCCAAAATTGCCGACTGTGACCTGATGTTTACCCCAGACATAGCCAGTTAAGGCTTTTTGTCTTTGATGGTAGCCTGCAAGAGCCTTGGTGGGTTTGGGGCGGGGGTTTTGGTGGGTTCGGGGCTGAGAGCGCACGAAGAAAGAAAAAAAAGTAGGGGTACGGAGCGCGAAACGTAGTGGTTTGTGGCGGTTGGCCTAGAGGGTTAAATTTGGAAGAGTTTGAGAGTTTAGGTACTTTCCAGGAGGTTTGAGATGTCGGGAATCGACTGCTTAAGGCGGGTGATTCCAGGGGGGTCTGCCATTAAACTTGGGATAGTTTGGGTAAACCTGTCTTTAATGAGTGGGTTTGGGTGGTTTAGGCGAGTTTTGAAGTTTTCATGGAGCTTTGAGACGAAGGTTCGCGTGAATTTGTGAGTTACGGACGTACCAGGGGGGTCTTGTCATCCTGCGGAGGATTTTGTTTTGGAAGGTTTGGAGTTTGCCAATGGTTATTTTGGAGGTTTGACTAATGATGGGGGCAGCGTAGCATGTTTGCGACCTGATTACTTGCTTGTAGAGCAGAGTTTTGTTTTTCAGAGTGAGCTTGCTTTTCTGGTTTAAGAGAGGGTAAAGGATGCCGGCTGTTTGGCTTCCTTTGCTGATTATTTTGTTAATGTGCTCAGCCAAGTTTAGTCTAGAATCGATGATAACGCCAAGATATTTGAGAGATTTAGAAAAGGGGATTTCGTTGAGTGTTGTTGAGCATTAGTTTTTTTTTTTTCGAAATTATCATGGCTTTCGTTTTTTCTGCATTAATTTTGATTTTCCAGGAGTCAGCCCACTTTTGAAAAATGTTTAAGTGCCGTTGAAGAGGGCCAATTTAGTATAATTATAAGTTTGTTTGTATCTTAGAACTGAGCAATTTTCAATGAAATCGCACTGAATGTTGATTTTTTGCTGCTG